GGAAAGAGGCAGAAGACCAGGACTTTGGGGCTCAGGGCAGGGCTCTGGGGAAGTTTCTTTCTGCTCAGAGCCTCTCTCTCAGGCTTAGGAGCATAAATCTTGCTGTAGAAAATAACTGGATGTGTCCTCAGTGAGCTTGAGAATTTGTCCTTGCATCAGTCTTACATGCCTGGTGGGAATCTAGGACTCTCTTTTACCCTGAGACAAACCAGGTCTCCCTTCTCTCAGACTCTCTCTTCTCTCTCGATAGGGACCCTCCAGAGTTGTGTGTGTGTGTGTGTGTGTGTGTGTGTGTGTGAGTGTATTTGTGTACTTGTGTTTCCTGTCAAAGGAGCTATCCCAGGGGCCTGACCTACATTGAGAGGACTGCAGGAGGAGAAACAGAAGTCTTGTCTTCTTCACTGTCCCACCACTTGTGAGGAATATGTTAAAAAAGAGAGTGATCTAGGGGCAAGAGGCAGGTCTCATTGTCTTGCAAGGATAAGTCAAACTGGAGTGGAGAGGGTTGGCACCAAATGAGGTTGCCATGGCTATGGAATGCTGCAACCAGCATTTTAGCGTCCTCTGGCAACATCTAGAAGGACTGATGTGAAGAGGGAGGAGTTTCCTCAAAGGTCCAGTAAAACTAGGTTCTCCTTCCTTTGTGGTCCTGCCCCTATTCTGAGCCAACCTTTTCCCAGGGCTAGAGCTCTGAACCCAGAATGCCTTCTAAAACTTCTGGATTTTAAAAAAAAAAAAAAGGGACCAGCAGTTAGTGTAATGGCTATGTCGCTGGACTCCCCTGTAGTTGACCGCAGTTCGCGTCCCAGACTCAGTGGCTTAAAACTCACACCGGGCGCGTGTACGTGTGTGCCCAAGATCCTGAGAGGAGAATGGAGGAGAAGGGCTTGCGGTGTGGCCATCCCCCCTAGGGGGATGATTTCTCGCTTTATGTCTCTCTGTCTCTCTCCGTCTGTCTGGCGAGTGCACGTGTCCTATGGCAAAAACCTCTCCAAAACAAAACAAACTCCTGGATTTTACACATGTGGATTTGATGGCTTTCTTCTGAGTGGACTTGATCACTTCTAAGAAGCATTAAGCTAGGCTGATGTGGACAAGAGCTCCAAGTTCCTTTCTGGCTAGAAGTCAGGTTGGAGTAGGCTGGATTTCTTCTAGATCTTCATGAGGTGACTGAGAATGGGTTCTGGCCTAGCCAGGGTGATAAACGTGGTGACTAAGCTCTGTTCCTGGGGACAACCTGCAGTGGAGAGGTGCTTTCCTCCTGAGGAACCCTGGAGATCTACAGAGAAATGCTTCACACTTGGCAAATGTGAGTCAGAGCTGTCCTTCCAGGAGCCCTTGGGGAGGGGAAATCCTATTTCAGTCTTTGAAACTCACTAGTCAGCAAGACAAACTTAGGCAAGCACTCTCTTTTCCCAGGACCTTAGCCACCTGAGTATACCTTTTCCCAAGGTCATTTTATCTTACTTTTTGCACATTGGAAAATGCAGGCAGCCACCAGGTGGCACCGGAACCTTGATCTGGCTGTCCTTTGTTGGGGAAAAGGGGACTCAAGGCCCTACAACTAGAGCCCCAGGGCTTTTCCAGAACCTTTCTCTGCTGCTTTTATTCCCCGGCCCACAGGCAATCTACTCTGAGTGCTTGGGCTGGAAGATTGTTCTTCTATTTACTTGAGGAAATAAATGGAATGAGGCTGGCAGCTGGCCACTGACAGCCAATCCACGAACAGGTTGGTGAGAGTCTACCAGACAAAGCTGCTTGAATGTATCTAGTCTTGCCAGAGAGAAGTGGGGGCTTGTTGGCCAGAGGGCTTCATGAGGCACCTCTGGGGCTGGTGTAGGTGCTTCAGCACAGGCAGAAAAGGCTGTGGGTCTATCACAGGCCCTACAAAGCTTCGATTTCCCATTCTAGAAAGTGGACTGACAGTAAAGCTGCCAGCTTTCTCTATTGGGTTGTGGGAAATTGAGAGATAAGAGATGAGATCAGGCTTTGAAAAAAGTTAGGAGATGCTGTGCAAAGGTGAAAAGTTACTTCCTAGAAAAAGGCTGTGTCAGAAGTGTCACAACTGGACACTGAAAGCCAGGTTGGCCTTGCTTAGGCTAGCTGGGGAAGCAGATAGGGATTTGGGCAGTCAGTCCAAGCGAGGTACAAAGACTGGAGCTATCCAAGCTTTGGGTCTTCATTCCTGTCAGGCGTAGAATGATCAAATGTAGCTACTTCTTTCAGGCTTTCAATGGCAGCAAAATTCGACTTGACCTTGACTGGACCCCGCAGTACAGGAGACAACCTTGGGCCTATATGTCAAAGTCTTTTTTAGGTAGAACCATCTTAAATCACACAGTATCTTGCCTATATTTAGGAAGGGTCTTCCTGCTCTTAGAAGGCTCACCCCAAGGGGAGAACTCCGTCTCATTCCAAAATGAAAGGAAACCCCTCTTGGCAGAACTCTTTGATCTCAGGAGTGATATGAAAATGAAGGGAATTCAAATTAGAAAAAACAGAAGTGCTTTGGGCCAAATGTGGGATGCTAACATTAAATGTAGCTACAATTTTTATCCTACAGATAGGGTGGGAGAGCAATTCTCAGGTCAGAGAGGGTAGCCCCAGTTGGCTGGAATCTGCACTATGGTCTGCTTTATTTTGTGTTAGAATGAGGATGAAGAAGGCTTGTAATGTTGTAACAGAGGGAGATGATTGCTGAGATCAGATTGTCCCTCTCTACCAAATCTCAGCTGCAGTGACTGTTAATTCCATGATCAGATTTTTTAGGAGGCAGCTCATTTAGGGAGCCTCAGCCAAGGAAGTCTTAGTATGCTTCACTGTGACAGCCAAAGGCTGACTTTTATCCTTAAGAAGCCTGTGAGTACCAGGCCAGTGGTTCCCAACTGAGGATCATTTTGCCTCCTAGGGGACTTTTGGCAATAATCCAGGACATTTTTTGCTTGTCTCAACTTGGAAAAGTATGCTACTGGCATCTAGTGGGTGGAGATCAGGGTAGTCGTTAAATAACTCACAATACAAAGGACAGCCCCCCACCCCCCCACTCCCCCCCACACACAAAGAATCATTGGGCGCCTAATGTCACCACTGCCAAAGTTGAGAACTGCTATAGCAGATGCATCTTCTGATGGCAGTCTGATGTGGACTTTCTTTTTTCTCACCAAGATAGAGAAGTTCATTGTATTGGGTTGCTGTATTTTTTCTTATGCAAAAAGATATCATGACTTTTCCAGTGACCCACTTTGCTTGCTATCTCTGCAGTTCTTGGAGTCTTGTGATGAAGTCATTTTGTTAGAAGATGGAGAGATTTGTGAAAAGGGAACACACAAGGAATTAATGGAGGAGAGAGGGTGTTATGCAAAACTGATTCACAATCTCCGAGGGTTGCAATTCAAGGTAACTCTGGGACACCTGGTTTGTAGCATTGGGTGGGAGAGATTGGAAGCCATCCGTCATGATTTCCAGCCGGGGTGAAGTTCTGTCATTTAGCTTTCAGAGGAATTTCATTTTGTCTTCAGGATCCTGAACACATTTACAATGCAGCAATGGTGGAAGCCCTTATGGAGAGCCCTGCTGGGAGAGATGAAGATGCTGGTACAGAAAGAGTTAGACTCCCAACTCTCTTATTCCCCTTGGCTCATGAACGGACACATATCTCTCTCTGTTTCTCACCCTAGTTTTAGCTCCAGGAAATGAGAAAGATGAAGGAAAAGAATCTGAAACAGACTCAGAATTTGTAGAGACAAAAGGTATTTATCACCCTTCCCTTGGTTGAGTCTTTTTAGAATTTGTTGGGCATCTACCATTTAGGAAAGAAAATAATAGGGGCAGCCTATGTCCTTTGGGGCAGCTGGAATTGTATAGTCTACTACAGTATGAGCCTTGGGATTTGGCTGCCTAAGTCCAAATTCTGCCTCTACCACTTATTAGTTTTGTGACCTTGAGCAAGAAGATACTTGAGCATCCAGAACCTTAGTTTTCCTAATCCATGAAATGGAAGTATAATAGTACCAACTCACAGTACTACTATACATGGATTCTTACAAAGATTAAATGAGAAGGTTCTTACAAAGGTAAAATGAGAAGTTGTACATAAAGTGCTTAGCAAAGTGCCTGGCACATGGCAACCCTCAGTAGCCATGTTTATTTTTATAAGCTGGAGAATCAAGGCAGCTAGCGGGGATTGATTGGAGGCAGAAACAAACACGAGAGCTATTTCCTATTCTTTTCTGGGTAGCATTTAGAATGGATTGTGAAATAGTGAAGGGTCTGAGATGAAATAAGGTTATTTGTTCTTCCAACAAATAAGGACTAAGTATTCTGCTATGGGTTAGGTGCTAAGCTAGGTCAGATAGAGAAAGACGAGATGCTCATGTTCTTGGGATCTATGGACTAACTGGGGAGGGTGTCACAGGCAAATGGGTAATCAGGGGATGCTACAACAAGAGTAATGAGAAGTTGGGGTGGGAGCAACAAAAAATCAAGAGACAGTTTCACAAAAAAGGTGACTTTGGCCTGGTCCTTCAAGGATGGTTGGGGTTTGTTGGGGTCACTATGATGAGAAGGTGGGAGAGAACAGGGAGGAGTTTGAGGTTGAGGGCAAAGGAAAATTCCAGGAAGGCAGAAAGGAAAGATATGGGAGAGGAGCCTGGTGAGGGCCAGGTTATCCAAGCCACCCCTTCTCTAAGACACTGGTGCCTTCCATTCATCATTTTTCCCAGTCCTGGTTACTTATTCTGTGCCCTGTCCTGTGCTGGACACCAAGAGGCAGGGGTCAAAATGCCATAAAGTGCCCATAGCAAAGTGGCTTTCCAAGTTAGAGTCCTGTTCCTCAATAATATGTAGCTGGAAAAGAAAAAAAAAAACTTAAGTACATTTCATAAAATTTAGGGTGCCATTCATTTTTTTAAGACCACTATCATTTTATGTACCACTTAAGACAGAAAAAAAAAAAAAAAAAAAAAACCTCTGCCAATTAAATGGCATGATATACTATTGAGTGGAAGGTACATCCAGATTTCAGAGATGTTAAAATGTGGGGAAAAGAGTCTTCAGGGCCAGTTGGTGGTGCAGTGGTAACACAACACTGAACCCACTGGGGAGCGTCCCAGATTTGTGCCCCAAGACCTCCCTGTGCAGCCCAGGCATGGGTATGCCCATGAGTAGGGCTGATCGAGGGTAGGGTAGGACTGAGGTGTGAAGACAGCGTTAAGAATGTCTGCCTTTCTTTCCCTCTCTCTCTCTCTCATGGCAGAAGTACATTTTACAAACACTTTTTTAAAAAAAGAAAACAATAAAAATGAAAAAAGTGAGTCTTTGAATCCATGCAGTTTGACACTATTAATGGTGCTTGTGACCAACACACTGGGGAATACACACTAGGAAAGACAGCACATTTCACTGCCCCTGAGGCTTCCCAGGCTGAAGCGAAGTGCCCGGCCATTTCTCCTGTGCTTTCCAGGGAAAGCTCCGAGCTGCCTGGGATTTGGGATCCTGCTCATTTCCTCAGCACCCACTCTCCTCTGGAGAAAAAGTGTGATGGTGCAATTTCACTCTGGAGGGTGACCCAGTCTCCAAGGATAAACAGTGGAGTGTTAAATGCTCTGACAGCTGTAGAAAACAAAGGCACTCAGGAGCCAGTTAAGGGGCAGCACTGGCAGCCTTTCCTGCACCAGAGCATCTTCTAAAGCACACGTAGGCGAAAGGAGCAGCAGCTGCACTCCCGATGGGCCCTGGGCTGCAAGGGGTTTCAGTCAGCTCCTTTAGTGCTCCAGGGTGCCGTTGATTAGACTCTCCCACACGCTGAGGTCTCTCCCTTGCTTCACAGTCTCAGAGGGAGACACACTGAGCAAAAGGCAGGCTGGCCATTTTCAAAGAAGCGCACAGGTTCCCAGGCAGAGAGTGCAATGGTGGCTCTATTGGGCAAGGTGCCTTTGAAAGCTTTCTCTGTCCAGGCAGGGTGCAGAGAGTCTGTGTGCAGGATGCCCTCTGGTCTAGTTCTATTTATCTCTGTTTACAAAAGCCAAGTATGGTTTATTAGCCTGCTCTAAAGTGGATATTTTCATACTTCTTCATGAAGGAGAAGAAGAGACATGCCAGCCAGTGCCAGCTACTGGAAGCACTTTAGCTAGGATCCCTGTACCTCAAAAATGCAGTTCCCATGAGAACTTGATGGTCACATCCCCTTCCCCTCTGGGGAATGAAGTGGATTTGAGACAGCCACATGGAAGGAATCAGGAGTCCACACAACCCCCACCTACGGATGGATTCTCCTGTATGGTATGAGCCTGTGAGCTCTGAGGAGACAGAGATGGCCTCCTCCCTGTATACCCTGCAATAGGGGTTGCTAGTGCCCTTTTGGCTTCATGGCACACAAGCTCCCAACCGCTACCTCTGCTTCTCTTCATCTGGGAACTCTTAGGAGCTGTCACCCACAAGTCGAGCTGGATGTGCTGGGGAATTAGTACCCCCAGGGAGTGGCCTTACCTAATGGCCAATGGGAATCAGTAGAGAAAAATCCCTCTCATCACCTGAAAAAACTCTGAGGTATATATCTACACTGGCTCTGAGATTTCTCCATGTGAGAATTAAGCTCCAGGGGCCCACAGTGGTCACTGGTTTGATGATAAACCTTTTCCTGTTGACTTTCCTTCTCTATTCTCTTTAGTTCCCAAATGAACTCATGTATTCATAACCTCTTCTTGGGATTTGCTCCTGGGAGAAACAGACCAAGACAACCCCTGTATCCCTAGGGCTTAGCACATAGCAGGTGCTTAAGAAATATTTCTCAGAAGCTCAAAAGTCCACTTTACAGGATTGAAGGGGAGTATGTTGGAAATTTGAAAGCACAAAACAAATGGAGGGATATGTCATCTATGCCCGTGGTGGTAGTGTGGAGTGTGCAAAGGGGTGCATCTGCCTTCCTCATTGGACTCCTCCCCTGCAGAGAGTACCACAGATATTGTGTTTGTCTCCATAGTTCCTGTACACCAGCTTGTCCAGACCGAATCGCCCCGGGAAGGCACCGTGACCTGGAAAACATATCACACATACATTAAGGCTTCTGGAGGTTCGGTATAAAGCAATGGGTTTCTTGATTTAATTTGCATTTAAAAACTCCTTTCTTAAACTGTTGGGTTCACATTTTATGATTTCTTTAACAATTACTCTTTTTATGCTAGAGCCATTTATCAATGCTTTTATTTTTTTCCCCTTAAAAACTAAAGTCTGCTAATACAGCCTTTTAAATAGAATCATCCTTTATCACCATTAAAGCTGCCAGACTCTATTTTATTGAAGCTGAATGAGCAGCAGCATGAACCAGCTATGGCTGTTCCCAGCCCTCGCACTCTGATTGTGGAATGCGACAGTGCTCAGCTCATTGCCTGCCTTCCCACCTCGGTGTGTAAAACATACCTGTAGTTTCATCTTTCCCCAACAAGACTGATTTTTTAAAAAGAATTATTTATTTAATTTTATTTATTAATTCATTTATTTCAATTTGACCAGAGAAAGACAGAGAGAGAAAGCGAGAAGGCAAGCCACCAGGTCTCGGACTAGATCCATGGTTGGCCATGTGGGAGTGTCGAGCACCTTAACCACCATGCCACCTGCTGGTCCCGAGACTGGGTTTTTACTGGTTGGTTTTTAAAGAATATTGAGTTGCTTCTATCTAAGTGCATATTGGTGGTTCTTCCAATATATTGGCAATTTGGATCTGTTTTCCAACCAGGTGGATCAGATGTTCCCTTTGGTGTGTAGGGGCCCAATGCCCAGATGTGTTACATCAGCCTAGAAGGTGGTTCCCAGGGGCAGGAGTTCTTTTCCTGTGGGCTTTGGCTTTCCCGTCATGATTGGGTCCTGAGGAAGGTAAGCCTGCTGCTACCCTCTCATACCCTGTAACCAACCCCTTTGGTCCTCTCCCCTCCTCTTGCAGGGTACCTCCTCTCTCTCTTCACAGTCTCTCTCTTCCTCCTGATGATCGGCAGTTCTGCCTTCAGCAACTGTTGGCTGGGTTTCTGGTTAGACAAGGGCTCACAGGTGAGATACCGTTTGGCATTGGAAAGGTTGAGTGTGTGGAGCAAAAATGTCCCTGGTGGAGAGTCTACACGTGCCCAGTATTATGCAATGAACTCATTTGTATCCTTCCACCCTTTTGCATGAAGTTGAAGTCAGTTGCTTACATCACATGATTCAAACTCCTAAAATTTCTTTGATTTCATAAAGACGAACAGAGCATCAGGATTTCTATGTGGCAACTACAGATTTCAAAAGGGTTGGCTGAAAGAGATGGTGCTTGCATGTCTGTGGGGTCAAGCATGTGTAGGATAGGGTCAGTTTTGCAGTCTCTGAAATGGGGCCAAGATAGACTAGAAAAACCCACCTGAGATTTGCATCCTGCTGCCTCTGAAGAGATATGGAGGTCTTATCATGGACACTGCTCTGTCCTAGAAGGTCCCACATGGCTCTGCTCCCCAGAGTTACCTCCAGAAGAACAGTATGTGCAAGCATCAGACTCAGTCCCTGCAAGTGCTTCAAGAACACTGGTGTTTTTTTGTTTTTTTTTCCTCCCAAGTAGCCTCAGGCAGCCCAGACAGGACAGAGTCAGGGACTGGCCTCCTACGGGGCATCAGGGAGACTTAGGGGACTCCTCTGTTCAGTGAACCGGCCTCACAGCCCTTTCCTTTTTTTTTTTTTTTTCCCCCCAAGAGTTGCTGGGAAGGCACGGCTACATGGGTCCCTCTTGGGAAGTATTGACAAGTTTGCTCTACCTCAAGCTTGTTGGAAGCTCTCCCTGCTTTTGACCAATGGTTTTCTAGAGCCCCTGGGAATGGTGTGAGGGTGCCTGCCCATTCTCTGGGATTACATTTTGGTACAGTTCTGTTTCTCTGACAACCAAAGGGAGGAGGCTTTGGGGAGACTCATTGCTGGGGAGAGGCTATGAGCACAGCTCTGTGAGGCCATTCCCAAGGGGAAAGGCCAATGGGTGGCCTGCTCCATGCAGGAATAGAAAATCATCTCTGGAAAGTATGTGTGCATACTTCCAAATCTCTCTCTCATGAGGAGCCCTTAAAAAAACAGAGGTTTAGCATCAAGGTATAACCTCCTCCTAGGTCAGGTGCCATTGGCTCATTGAGTTCACAGCAATGGTGGTAGATGCACAGGTTTGTCCCCAAGACCCCTGACACTGTGGGTATAAACTAAGACAGGAAAGGCTCTTCTTCAAGCTGGGCCTTTTACCAGTTAGCTCCCCAGGGATGTATTTGCTTTTATGGATGTTCATCTATCAGCCATCTCTGGTTTACATTTCTGCTATTACTGTAATCAGCAAAATGGCATTTAGAAGAAAGATGCGTGTTTGCTCCCCAAAGGCTGTCTTGACTTTTAGCACATAGCCCAGAGAAAAATGAAACTGCCAGTGTCTCAGAAGGAGGAGGTGGCTTCCCTACTTGTGTGTTCTCACTGGGCAGAACAGAGCCACATTTTCTTCAAATTCTCCAAGAGCCTCTTGTGCTCACTAGGCTCCCTCCTCCCCACAGGGACTTCAGACAGAGGACCAGCACCATCCCAGATGCCCCTTGGGAAAGAAGTGGGAAGGGAAAAGGAAAGGGAAGTGGCTTTGAGGCTGGCTCACTGGTCAGAGGAGCCCTGAGTTTCCCTGAAGGCCTGATGGGTGCTGCCAGGCAGCTCAGACAGTTGGAGGCCAGCCCTTGGCTTCCTATACTGTTTGAGGGTTGCCTGAGGTTGTTTGGCCAGCCTCATGGAATCCAGATTTTTTGTTTCTGTGATTTTCCTGACCCAGCGTCAGTTCTGGCCTCCTGAGGCATTGTTAGCTTCTGGGATTGATGCCCTATACCCATCTGGTTTATCTGCTTGGTTTTCTCCACTGACTGTGCCAAGCTCCTAAGTCAGGTGCCCCTTGGGGTCATGGCTGCTCAGCAGAAGTCACGTAAAGCTCAGCAGTCCCCAAAGGGGACTGACTTGATTTTACTCACACAATTTATTCTTAACAATTAAGCATTTCTTTTTCAGTTTCTCTTCTCTGGAAAAATTCTCTGGAAAATCCACATTCTTCTGATGGTTTACTAATTTTTTTTCTTTTTTAATGTTTTTGCTGTAGGGTGTGTGTACTCACTGGAGAGAGACAGAGGGAGGAAAAGTGAGAAATCATACCCTAGGCAGGGTGGCTATGCTACAATTCCTTCTCCATTTTCCTCCTGGAATTTTGGGCATGCACATATATGTATCGGGTGTGATTTTCAAGCTGCCATGTCTGGGACTCGAACCATGGTCAGCCATGTGAGTGTCCAGTGACTTTAACCACCATGTCACCTGCTAGGCCCAACAGTATACTAATTCTTAGTGCTTCTCTTGTCTCACAGATAACCTGTGAGCCTCAGGGCAACAAGACCATGTGTGAGATTGGTTCTGTCCTGGTGGACACCAGGAAACACATGTACCAGTGGGTGTATGCAGCGAGCATGGTGTTCGTGCTGGTTTTTGGCATCTGCAAAGGCTTAACCTTCACTAAGACCACGCTGATGGCATCCTCGTCGATGCATGACAGAGTGTTTGACAAGGTACAGCCACAGGGACCATGGGTGCATCTGGTAGGATTTATTGAGCACCTACGAATGCCAGGCATTGTGCTGGACTCTGGGGACAGGACACAGCCCTCTTGGAGCTTGCAGACTAATCTAGAATCTCCCGAAGAGCTGATTACCAAGTGTAAAGGTGAATGCCAGAGAGTCATAGCTTATATCATGGGCCCTTGGACTAGGCTGTGGTAGGGAGAGCCATTCTGCAGTAGACCAGGAGGGCATCTCCTGCCCCAGAGAGTCTGAGTGCCACAGGGCTCTGAGGGGCACATCCAGCCCCTCATTCCACTACTGCAGCTGCTGGTAGCAGTTAGTGGCTATATAGGGTGTGGGTGGTGTCTACACTTTAGGGGCAGAGAAAGTAGAACTCATCTTTTTATTACCCTGGGGCAGAAAATTCTCCATCCTCCAAAGGCATCACCCACTCACACCCTAGGCTGCATCCCAGGGGCCCTTCTGGACTTCCACACAGAGATTCATGCTCTCCTACATTTACTGTCCTTGGAGTTGGCCATGGAATGGGAGCAACCCCATCCCTCTAAGTTCACCTGGCCCATTGTATTGTGTCCTGGAAAAAAGATCAGGCCTCACACTCATGATTTCAGGCCCTGCAGAATGGCCAGGTGTACTTAACACCTGGACTCTGTTTGACTCTCTGCCTTTGTCCACAGATCTTAAAGAGTCCAATGAGCTTCTTTGACACGACGCCCACTGGCAGGCTAATGAACCGTTTTTCCAAAGATATGGACGAGCTGGATGTGAGGCTGCCGTTTCACGCGGAGAACTTTCTGCAGCAGTTTTTTATGGTGGTGTTTATTCTGGTGATACTGGCCGCTGTGTTTCCTGCTGTCCTTTTAGTCTTGGTCGGCCTTGCTGTAGGCTTCTTCATTCTCTTACGGTAGGTCTATGCATTATTTTAAAAGAAGAAAACAACAGACTAGTAGAACTATTAACGAATGCACACAACATAATGTCGAGGAAGATGAATATGTATATATCCTTGATTTGATTATTATACACTGTGTGCATGCCTTAAAAAAACATAGTGTCTACCGCAAATGTAAATGCAAACCAGAAATTATAATTAAAAAAATAAATGCGGGAGAAAAACAACACACACAAGCACACAGTTAATTATGTACACTGACCGGGTAGCAGGTGATGCTAAGTGCTTGCTGTTTTTTCTGAGGGTAGAGCACATTGTTTTTTTTTTTGTTGTTGTTGTTTTTTGTTTTTTTTTTAAATCATTTATTCAATGCCAGGTGCTATGCTAAGTGCTTTGCATAAATCTGGCATTTTTAGCCTCAGAGCAACCGTGGGAAGTGGATATTATTAAAAGGTAAAGTCACTGGTCTCAGGCCAGGAAAATAGTAACCCTGGCTGCTGTTTGTCTGTTGCTATGTACTTAGCCACGGGGCTCTGCCGTTCCTGCCGCTGAAGAGAGAGGACATGATCCTCAGCCCCCCTGAGCTTTGAGAAGCCCCTACCCTAACTATTGATGCGGTTAGAGAAAGGGCCTGGGAAAGGCCTGAGAGCACCTTTGTGCACCAGGCCTGCTGAGGCTGTGCACACCCGCCCTGGAGGAAACCTCAAGGATGGCTATGATCCAGGCCTCCCTGGATACCTACCTCTCAACTCTCTGTCTCTAGAGCAAACTGGGGCTCAGCAGGTGGCATGGTGGGTTTTAGGTGAGGGCAAAGGGTTACAAGTCAGAAAAATTTGTATCAGAGCTGGAGCTGACAAGTGGTGTGGTGGTTGGAGTGCTTGACTCCCACATGGCTGGTGGTGGTTTGAGACCCGTACTTGGTGGCTTATTTTCTCTCTACCCTTTCTCTTTTTCTCTCTCTGGTCAAATTAAATAATAATAATAAGAATAAGAAGAAGAAGTTAATTTTTAAAATGATACTTTTTTTTTTTTTGGAGAGGTTTTTGCTATAGGATGCATGCACTCACCAGACAGACAGAGAGAGACAGAGAGACAGAAAGCGAGAAATCACCCCCGAAGGGGGGATGGTCACGCCGCAATCCCTTCTCCTCCATTCTCCTCTCGGGATCTTGGGCACGCACGCACATGCGGCCGGTGTGAGTTTTAAGCCACCAGGTCTGGGACGCGAACTGTGGTCGACTACGTGGGAGTCCAGCAGCATAGCCATTACGCCAACTGCTGGTCCCATAAAATGATTCTTTTAAAAAAGACATTACATTATTTTTGTTCGATTTAAAAAAATGAAAGAAAAATTTGTACCAGAGCACTAGCTTTGCCAAAAAACTAAACTAACTGGAGGATCTTGGAGAAGCCAGAGGAATGCCACAAGCCTCAGTTTCTTCATCTTCAAGATGGTCTTCACTAAAACATATGCCTTATCTAGCTCAAAGGGGGTGTGAGGATCAAATGAGACTACATGATCAATTTCACATCAATTAAAAATGGAACAAAATTTTAAGCAAATATAAGAGTTTCATAAAATTCCACAAAGTGTTTACTATGCTCCTAGATGTGCCCAGCCCTGGGCTGGACATTGAGGACCTTAAAGAGGGTCCCTTAATTATGGGAGATTCAGCCTACTAATCCTGGCCCTGTCTCCACCTAGAAACAGTGTTGTTTGTTTTCACCCAGGGATACCGCACTTAGGTCCAAGTCTTAGAAATATTGCTTAGGCCACTGTGTGGATGGACAGAGTGATAGAAAGATCAGGACAGCCTATGTGGGTGACATCTCCTGAAATTTATAGTCTGAATGAGAGCTGACGAGGACTAGAAGGAGAACAGAAAAGAAGGGTGGACTCTAGAGCCCTTCCATGGTAGTGTCAATCTGGTTCCATGACTGATGGAATTAAGGGTATTAGAGGAATGAGAGAGGACAAAGATGACTTTGAGGTCAAGGGGAATGATTTGAAGAGAGACACAGGTGATATGGGAGAAGAAGCAGTTGGGTGACCAAGGTGACCACTTTGGTTCTGGAAGTTTCAAGTTTGTTCTTCGAGTCTGTACATGATGCTAGAGAACGATGGCAAATGTGGGTGTAGGGGATGCACTGGGGCTGGAGAGCTGGACCCATAATGTGTGTGGGAGCTGGTGTGGTCTGAAGGCTAGTTCCAGTGCCCTGGGAGCCAGGCCCTCACTTTGGAGCCTCTTGGAGACTTTGAGAAGGACACATGACCACAGTTTCCAAACTCAAGAATTTCTTTTGATGACCAAATAAAAATAATTCCTGAAAGTCCTTTACAAAGATAAAGTATATCAGTTCTGGGACCAGCAGATGACCTATTGGTTATGTTGCTGGACTCCCACGTAGTTGGCCAAGGTTCAAGTCCCAGACTCAGTGACTTAAAACTCACACTAGGCATGTGTGCCCAAAGTCCTGAGAGGAGATGGGAAGAGAAAGGATTGTGGTGTGGCTATACCCCCCTGGAGGGGTGATTTCTTGCTTTCTATCTCTCTATCTCTCTGGTGAGCGCATACCCTATAGCAAAAAATCTCTGAAAAAAATGTACATCAGCTATTGAAATGGATTTTGGGCTTATGTTCATTTTTCTAAGTCCTGTGTTTGACCTTCATTCCTGTTTTTTCTGTATACACTGTTGATTTACTTAACAAAATCTTTTTCTCTTCCCTAGACCCCTACTTCTTGCTATAAAGACAGGCCAGAGGCTAGAGCTGGTCCAGACTGCATTATCCAAATGTTTTCACATAACTCACTTGTGCTCTGAACTAATGAGGTTTCCTGCTTGCTCCCCTGGGTTAGTTTTAGCTGAGAGATAGGAGGCCAGATTATATTCTCTCTCACTAGCTAATGTGCATTCTGAAGCTGCTGGTTTCTACTCACCAAGGTTCCTGGAGTCTCAGCAGGATGGGAGCCAGCATCTTGTGTGGGGGTGGGGCAGGGGAGGGGGTCAGTTTTAAAGTCAACTCCTGAGGTTAATGATGCTAGCTCAAATTACCTTTGAAAATGCCTTTAGAATACCATGTTGGCTGGGACAAGCAGATGGCATAATAGTTAATGTTGCTGGACTCCCTCTCAATCCTGGTTCAAATCCCAGACCCGATGGCTGAAAACTCACGCTGGGCATGTGTGCATGTGTGCCCAAGATCCTAAGAGGAGAATGGAGGAGAAGGGAGTGCGGCATGACCATCCTCCCCAGGGGGAGATTTCTTGCTTTCTGTCTCTCTGTCTCTGTCTCTCCAATGTGTGCATGCTCCCTATGGCAAAAATATCTCTCTAAAATAAAAAACCAGACCATGTTGGTAGTTAACACACCAGGTTTTCCTCCAGAGTTAGAACAGATCACCTTTTTCTCTGATCAGGCACCAAAAATCATTAGTTTATGTTCAGGGACTGTGCTGTATAAGCAATTTTGGTCTTCTAAGATTAGAGTCACATCTTGTATAGCAAGACATTCCCGCTACAGGAAGCACTTAGAACTGAGACCAAAGGAAGGAACAGATGGTTCCCATCTCTCAGACCAAAACCGCTCCCACTGCCAGAGAGAATGGCAGGCCAGTTCACTTTCCCTGGCTAGATGGCCGCATATCTGTCTGCATGCTGTGTTGAGTGTGCAGTTGGATCTGCACGGGCTGAGGGTGAGCCTACTGAGACCCCACTTTGCAGGCCTCATGGCCCCTATCGATTTTCCTGCAGCATATTCCACAGAGGAGTCCAGGAGCTCAAGAAGGTGGAGAACATCAGCCGTTCTCCCTGGTTCTCCCACATCACCTCCTCCATCCAGGGCCTGGGCATCATTCACGCCTACGATAAAAAAGAGGACTGCATCAACAAGTGAGTTCTGCACGGGGCCCTCGCTTCACACCTGACCCTTTATCAGGAGGACACAGGCTTCTCTGGCTCTAAGAAGGGAAGTCTGGGATGTGGGACAGGCTGGGGGTGAAGAGCTGGTAGAATCTGAGAGGAGCAGCCTAGGACACTCAGCCTCTCATCTCTGTGTCTGTGGTCCCAAAACATGTGAACTTGGGGAGCTCATTCAATGATGACCTCAGTGTGTGACTTTATGATTTATCTTTCACTCTAAGAGTAAAAATGGGTTCAATTCAGGAAAACAGGAAAAGTAGAAAAAAGAAGAAAACGTCTCTCATGGGCTCCAAATTCCAATTCTATGAATATTTTTGTATATTTCCTTCTAATCTTTAATTTTTTTTCTATTCATCAGATTTTCTTTTTCTTAGGATTTATAGTAATTTTTCTTTCTCTTAAAGTGTATTTAACATTTTAAATAGCATTTTTTAATGTCATTACATATTCTTAGTAAAAATAATTTTTAAAAGTCACCTCTCATTTCACTTAGGAGACAGATCAGTTTTCTTTCTAAAATTTGGGGGCTGGATTAGCAAATTTCTCTGGAGTCTTCTAGCACCAAATTTCACAAATACCACAAAAAGTGTATCAGTCACAATAGATTAATATTAGTAAATCTTTACTCTTCCTCAAGTCACAATTTCATGAGGGTCCTTGAGGCAGGACTAGGGGATTCTGCTCCATATGTTGTGTCTAACTGAAAGATAAGGAGAGAGAGTAGGGTGGAGGACCCTCTGGGAAATTTTTATGGTTTAACCCTGGCAAGGATATTCAGTTTTTCTCCAGTTTTTTTGGCTGGATTTTAATCACATGGGTTTACCTAACTGTAAGGAAGTCTGGGAATTGCAGTATCGCTATTTCTGCAGTGGAGAAGAAAATACAGTTTGGTGAGCTTCATAGCAGTCTCTTCTACATAGATGCCCTTTTTAATTTTTTTTTAACTCTTTTTCCTCCTTAAAAAGCTAACACACACACATTGCATTATTTGCATCCACTTCTTTCTCTCAATCTCCCCAAACTTCTCCTCGTAGGATCTCAGGGTAGGCTTGATATCACCGCTTATCTTCAGCTTAGTCAGCAGCTAGTCCTGTAGTAGTTGCACCTTCAATGCCATTAATCAAGAGTCCTACATCACATGTTGGCCCTGCTAATGTTCTGGTCATGAAGAAAATCTGTGAAGCCTGCTACATTCGTCTACTCACTGACAACAAACAAAAGAAATCCAAGTTATGTCTTCCTGATGATCCTCCTCTAAGATTACCAAAGACATCCTATGGGGAGCTGAGTCCAATATGATGGATAGGGTCACCCTCTTTTAAAATTTTGTTTCTAGAGGGCTTAAGCTTCTGATATGTATTACTTTTTGGTACTAGACAAAAATGCTACAGCATTAAAAATTAAAAAAGAGAGAGAGAGAGAAAGAAAGAAAAAGATTTGAGGTCAAATTCCAATTTTATCCCAGCTAGTGAGTTTGCTTCTGTGCAATCTAACCAACCACACAGATAAGACTGCACATGACTTTTAAGTGACTTAAGCTGTCAGCCGAATTTGTAGGCTGCATAGATACATGACAGAAACATCATGGTGTTTGGAAGAATATGTTGACTAAGCTCTGGAAAAAGTAAGAGTGAAAATGAAGGGGAGAAGGATGCTACAGAGCTGAGAATAGCTGGTCAGAGGTGCTTCTAGGTAGAATCCATGGAGGGCTTTGAGAATAGGTGGGGCAACAGCACCTGACTGTGTCAGAAAGGAACTGGAAATCTGGGGGGGGAGGGTTAAACGTAGAAAGGTTTCATTTTATTTCTAATAATTTATACTGGTTGTTCTGATGAAGTCCCTTTTAATAGTTTAGACTGTTAAAATTCCAGTCTTGCATATACCACATTGAAGTCACCATTTTTTTTCCCCTGCAGGCTTGGCAGACATGGCAAATCTGTGCTGTGTATGTGTGTTGTTGGGTGGGAATAGGCAGGCTTGCAGTTGGGAAGTGCCTGGTCTATTCTTTCAAACACCCTTTTCTCTGAGTCTGATTCTCTGATGCTGGGGGTGGGGAGAGATGGCCAGGGGATGTGAGAAGAACACGTCTTTGGGTGACTATCTGCCTCTAGTCTCTTGGGGTCAAGCCTGTGGATCCAGCTCACCATGTAGACATGGAATGACAGAGTGGAGGCCCCCACAGGGTCAAATTTCAAGCAGCTCTGCCGAACCTTGTGCATCAGTAAGATTAGCTGCATCTTCCGGTGAGTCTGGCTGATCCATGACAATGCATTCCTGGAAGTGGAGACCTCTTTATCTCAGTGGGGGAATATCCTGTCAAGATTGTAGTCTCGAGGCATCTTTCTTCTCTATGCACCCTCACCTCTGTGAAGTGCAGTAACTGACTGCCTCCATACAGCTATGAAACAAGGAACTCTAGGGATGGGTCTTGCTCTGTTCCCTGACTGTGTTATCTTTCTGCCACTCTGCCCTGTGCTCTTTTCCATCTCAGAAAGCTCAGTGGACATGAAGTAAGAGTACAAGATTCTTCTCCTAGAAGAGACCCCACCAGCTGTATAAGCAACTATCTTGAGTCTTCTCTCTCTGATTTGGGGGTGGGGGGAAAACAGTCAAGAACCCTCCCTTCCCTCTTCTCTATCACAAATATTGATTCTCCTCTAAAGGTGACCTTCTCCTTAACCCAACCTGCCTTCTAATAGATCAAGGAGGCCAATTTATCAATTCCCCAAAGCTTTTGGGGAGAGAGTTACTGGACGCCATTTATTCTCATTGGGGATTCCAGTTATCAGTTCTAGATAAGGTAGAAGAAGCCCGCTCAGCACCATACTCTACTGCCACATGGGAATTCTCAAGTAGGTGCAAATTAAAGATGTCTATGGGGCAGATTTCAAACAACACAAATATATGCTCATTTTGGTAAGAGTATACTATGTAGAGGGACTTCCCCTTTCCTGTTTCTCCAGTAACCCTAGTCCTATGTCTATGGAAGCACACCCTCATCTCCTGTCTTCTCTGATTTTCTCAATTCTAGGTTTAAGATGCTGAATGATGAAAACTCCAGCCACCTCCTATATTTTAACTGTGCTCTCAGGTGGTTTGCTTTAAGAATGGATGTCCTCATGAACATCGTCACCTTCATTGTGGCCTTGTTGGTGACCCTGAGTTTCTCTTCAATCAGTGCCTCATCCAAAGGCTTGTCGTTGTCTTATATCATCCAGGTAACGACAGAGGCTATGACACAGAATATATCTGGGATAGTGCTTTCAGATGAAAACTCAACTGAAAGGATTCTTTTTTTTTTTTTTCTTCTTTAATTGCCAGAGGATGTGTGTGCCTTTTAGAGAGAGAGAAAGGGAGAAAGCACCCACTAATGGGTGTGGTCATGTCCTAATCCCTTCTCCTCTGTTTCTCCACCTTACTGGGATTTTGGGCCCACATGTACTTGTGTCTGGTGTGTTTCTCAAGCTGCTGGGGACAGGATTTAAACTGCAATCAGCCTCATGGGGTCCAACTCTTCCAGGGACTAGACTTTGTGACCAACCCTCAAAAGGGTTTAGAGAGTATACAGAGCTTAGTGGCCACATCACTAAAATGTTAGTGGTTGAGCTTCAGGCACAGTTGGATCACGGCCCTTGGCTTTGCCTTCCTCCTATGGATGGCTTCCCTCATAGTGATGCAATAGCGACCAGCAGCCTCCCGGGTGTCCAGCAAGATGAAAGGAGGAAAGAATTTCCCACTCTAGCTACTGAGAAAAGTCCCAAGATTTACTCTCATTGGGTTAATTTAGGCATTCCCAGAACTGACTAGTGGTTTTATGAATTTGGGATGATTGATTCATGCTAAGGGTGGAGTCATGTCCCATCCCACCCCCAAGCTACATAGCTTTTCTACAATATGGGGTGAGGGGTGAAATGACCACTCGAGAAGCAATAACAATGTCTATGACAAGCAGTTATTGACTTCTTTTCTTGGTTGTTTTTGTGTCTGTGTATTATGATTATTATTTTCAATTGAATAATGACAATAATAGGCAATATATGTCATTTACTGTGCATCGGACACTATATTTTGTCTAAATTAATTCACTTACTCCCTACAATAACCCTATGATACTACCATAATCCTCATTTTACAGATGAGGAAACTGAGGCCTGGAAAGACTTATCCAAGATTACACACCTATCATTATAAGAGCAGAGTTTAAATCCAGGCTACCTGAGTCTGATGTTTGCCTGCAGGCTGTTTCTTTAAATCTGACTCACATTTTTCTCTTCACAGACTTTACTGACTATAGTCCTTATCCCTTGTCCCTGAAATTTCAAAACAATGTATCTGAATGTGAATCTTTTTCATGTATTCTGTTCGATGCTTTGGGTTCTTTTAGGCTAAGGTTAGAAAAAAAAATTCTCCTTCATTTTGAGTTTCTTTCTTCTGTTTTATCTTTCTGTAATTTGTATTATTGAATATTGTATTTCTTGCATTGGTCCTTTGTTTCTTCTTTTTTTTTAATCTCAATGTTTCCCTTCCCTCTTTTTTTTTTTTTTTTTTTGTCTTTTATCTTCATTCTGGGAAATTTCCTTAGTTTTGTCATTTAGCCATTCTTTTGAATTTTAAATTTGGCAATTATGTACTCATGTATTTAATTTCCACAAGTTCTTTCTTATTTTTTGAATTTTAAAAAGTTGGGTTTTTTTTTAAGAGTTGTTTTTGAATTTCTCTGAGAATATGAATGTTAGAATTGTGAGGTTTTTTTTCCTCCCTCTTAAACTCTTCTCTCTTCTTTGACTTAGTTTTTTCAGGATTAGTTTTTCTTTTCGTTTAGTTGGTTCTTGCTCTTTTGTGTCATTGGTTTAGTTCATCTGTCTTTCATTCTATTTGTATTTGTAAATGGGAGACTGGATTAGATTTTCAGGATGTCCTCTGTCTTTGTATACACCTTGCTAGGTCTCTCTGGATGGGAAAAGTTTCACTATAAATGAGCGGGTAGGTGATGGGGGTTTTCCATAGGCTGGCTTCACCTCGGAAAAGTAGTAGAGAGCTAGCCCTTAGGTATCTAGATGGTAGATTTAAAGAGATTTTTAATCTAGAGTGCTATTATCAGAGCCCCATTTGTCATAAAGTAACTAATTTTTCAGAGAAAATCACACGTATCTGTATGAGTGTGTGCATATAGAGATTAAATATCCGACCACTTCTGTTGGGAGCAAAAAGGAGAGGAGGGGGAGTAAATGGATCCAACAGGAGTGCATAGACAGATGATCAATCAGCCAGCCTCTCTTTGTGGGCCCCCTCTCACACCTGGAACTCTCTGGGTTCTGTCAGACAGAGGGCTCTTTAAGCCCGTGTTGCACATTTTTGCTCCCATTTTATCAAAAGGCTTTCATCCTCTTTCCATCTTGTAGAAATTTGTAACTCACTCCTTCAATGATATCTCTTCCCAACCTTCTTGCTGTTAAAGGTCTATTCTTTTTCTGAAAATTTCTCTGACATCATTTTAACAGGAAGGAAGAACCAAAATGTATTTTCAGTACTCCTCCTTAAGTGGAGAAAAAAAAAAAAAAAAAAAAAGAGTTTTCCTTGGGTAGCCAGTTTCCCTCTTTGATGGATGTTTTCATCTGTGGTTGCCTAGTAAAATATCAAACAGATGATGTTGAACCATTTTCCTTAATTGGTCTAAGTAAAACAGCTTTCCCCAGCGAAGGTCGTGCTTTTGGGCGATATTTTCAGCTTTCCACGAGAGTGTTTTGAAACATTCCTGTAAGGTTGGAGAAGACTGTGCACACACGAAGATCTGGGGGCGCTTTCCCTCCAGCTGGCTTTGTGGTTTAACTGAACATTAACCCCCTTTGGAGAACACAAAATCAAAATGACAGAGCTTCACTCGAGAGTAGAGGCGACTCCCTAGATAGATGAGAAATTAGTGTGGAATCCCAGAGAGCAGAAGTAAATGCAAAGAACATCAGGTAACATCAGGGAAGAAAACGAATATGTATTGGGGCCAACACTGTTGATGTGGGCATCGTGAACCTGAGAGGACCACCCAGGCCTTCAGGAGCTGGTATTGGATATGCTCTTCCCAATGGCAAGGTTTGTTCATTCATTTACACATATCCACTGAGCACTTACTGTGAGCCAGTAACTATGATATTGCCATGAATTCAGCACTAAAGGATTTGAACAAGTCCTTCCCTTTGTGGAGCTTACATTCTAGTGGGTAGCTGGGTTAAATAAAGGGGTAAATAAATGAGAGGGTTTCAGAAAGTGTTTCAATGTTATGGAGATAATGTATGTGGGCTAATGTGACTGTCGTGGGGGAATGAAATTACATCCAACAGTCAGAGTAAGCCTCTGCTAGGAGGAGACTCCAAGCTGAGGCCTGAATTAATAAAGTCAAGGAAGATGGGAAGACAAAGTACTTCAGGCAGGGGGTGGGGTGGCACGGAAAAGCTCCAGGAAGGCATGAACTTGGTGTGTTTGCAGATCTGAGAAGTCCATGTGGCTTGAGCACAGAGGTAGGAAAAAAAGTCTGAGGGGTTAACAAAATACCCAGAGTTTTATAAGCAAGGGACGGTATCGATATTCCAAGATGTTGATTGATTACAGACAGCTGGACTAAATAATCCTTTAGGGAGGGGCTGTCCTACGTATTGAAGGATGTTTAGCAGTTTCCTTGTTTTCTATTCGTGGGATTCGAGGATTACTTTCTTCCTCCCACAGCTTATAACAACTGAAAATGTTCCTAGATGTTTCTGAATGTTCTTGGGGGGGGCTGCACAACCATCCATATTGAGAATGACTGGTTTAAGAGAAATGGGAAGCCATTGGCCTGTGTCAAGCAAGGGAGGCCTGTTGAGGGGAGCTCTCTGAAGACCTGGACCCACACTGCTCTCGGCCTTACTCACCTGTTCAGAACCAGTGCCTCCTTTCTGTTAAGGCCACTCGCTTCTTACTAGAGCTTCTTACCCAGAGTTTGCCTAGCAGACTTTTTCTTATCATTAAGTTACACAGTCTGGCTTTAACCACCTAACTACCTAAGCAAACTCCCCAGCTCCAGCTACTCTCCTCCTGTCCTATCAACATTTTTGTTATTTAGGAATTGTCTTGTGTATCGCTTTGCCAGTTCTCTCAAATGTAAGCCCCATGAGTGCAGACAGTCCCTGGCACATTGTCACTGCACAGCCGAAGTATGTCACCTAACAAATAAGTCTGGCCCTGCCTCTGGCTCACTTAGTGATGGAGGCAGATGCTGTGGATGTCCCACCCTACCAGAGTAGGCTGAAGGTGTAGGTGGTTCTCACACCCAGTAGTACCTCGGCTGTGTCTGAAGGGAGGTAGCGGATGTACCTCTGCTTCCTTGCCCCGGGACAACTCTAAGGTGTGCTTCTCACAGTCTCCCAGAGCTCCCCAGAGGGACTGAGTCTCTGTGGCTCACAGCTGCAGCCTGACATGAAAACACCTTATATCAACTATCTTCTCTTTCCTGCCTGACTTTTCCCATCCCTTGCTGGAACTTTCTGGGTTCACCACCTATATTAGTGTGCTAAGGTTGCTGTAACAAATTACCACCAACTTGGTGACATAAAACAAGAGAAGTGTATTCTCTTCTGGGCCTGGAGTTCAGAAGTCTAAAATCAAGGTGTTGGCAGTGCCAGGTTCCCTCTGAAGGCTCTAGGGAGTGAATCTGTTCTTTCTTTCTCCCACCTTTTGGCCGTTGGCATTCTTTAGCATTCTTATCTCATAGCCTATCACTCCAATCTCTGCCTCCACCTTCATTCTCTTCTCCTCTGTCTTTTCCTTCTCTATCTCTTGGGAGGATACTTGTCATTGGATTTAGGGCCCATCAAGGTATAATTCAGGATGATCTCAAGATCCTTAATTACACCTGCAAAGATCCTTTTTGTAAATGAGATGGCATCCACAGGTTCTAAGAACTTGGATGTGGACAAATCTTTTTGGGGTAGAAGCCACCATTCTACCTGCCCTAAAACACCTGCTTGCTCTCAAATCTCAGGAGAGGTTCCTGGGTTTTGGGAGGATCCAGTCTTAAAGTGGGAGACTTTAGTAAGCTCACCCCCTACCCCCTGCTCCTGATCCCCACTCCCTACAGTCTGATTTTGACTTTCTCATGACTATAACAGACAGATGGACTTGATGGTTTTCTGGTCTCTTGTGGTGACTGGGTTTTCAGTTGCTTCTTCATCCTGGGTAGAGTGGAGCAGGGAGGGCACCAAGATGCAGGACCCCACCAGGTGGCAGCAAGGGGCTGGTACCCAGCAGTTCTGCTGATCCCAAGAGAATTTCCACTACCGCTCAAAGAGGCATGTGATCAAGTGGTGCTGCGGTGGGATGATTCTCACCATCTGGAGTGCCAGGGAAAAATGTAATTACCATTTGTTTCTAAATACAAAGGAAGTGTTTAAAGGCAAAACATCCCAACAGGAATATCTTCACTTCTGGGTGCTTGGCTGAGAATACAGGCCTCTTTTTTGTGGTCTTGAGTGAGACCAGGGAGGGGTAATTCACAAGGAAAGCCCCCAGAAGGAGATCAGGGGAACCCAAGGAAGGAAAGAACTCTAACTGTGGCTGCTTGTTCCTTTACAATAGCTGAGTGGACTGCTGCAAGTGTGTGTGCGAACAGGAACAGAGACCCAGGCCAAATTCACCTCCGTGGAGCTGCTAAGGGAATACATTTCGGTAAGAAATTAACACGTCAAAGAATAAGGGCAAATTGACTCTGGCAAGATTTATGTGAATATATGATTTTTTAAGATGTGAAAGGGATCTTTTTAAAACAAATCTGACCAGTCACAGTTCTTTTTTTTTTTTTTTTTTTTTTCTAATTGCACACACTCACCAGTGAAAGGAAGACAGAGAGAAAGACAGAGAGAAGAAGAGAGAAAGCAACTCTGATGGGGTTAGGCCATGCCACAATCCCTTTTCCTCCACCTCTCCAACCAGTAAGGCCTTGAAGCATGCATGCAAACATGCCCAGCATGTTTTTCAAGCCTCCTGGGCTGAGATTAGAACTTTGGTCGGCCATGTGGAATCTGGTTCACATGCATAGTGCTTACCCACTGTACTAAGGGGCTGGCCCCAGTCGTCCCTCTTAAAATCCCTATTTGCAATACAATTTAAAATCCTTGACATTGAATGTGAGGTTTTCCTTATTTTTTTTTCTTTTTGTCTTCTTTTTTTTATCTCCAGAGGATGCTTGCACTCACCAGAGAGAGACAGGAAGACAGAGAGAAGGAGAGGAACAGGTACCCCCAACTGGATGTGGTCGTGCTGCAATCCCTTCTACTCCATTTCTCCATCCTGTCAGGATTTTGAGCATGCATGCACATATACATGGCATATTTTTCAAGCCATTGGGTCTAGGATTCAAACTGCCATTGACCATGTGGACTTTGGCTCTCTTACCCACTAAGCTACAGGACTAATCCTAAAAAACTGTTTCTTAAGGACAGTTTCTATAAACAAAAAGGGCAAATCAGTGGCTTAGTTTTTCCCCCTCTGAAAAATTAGTATTTAGTGATTAAAGTTGTAAATTGAAAGAAAAAAACAGTTACTGGGGGGTGGAGGGGAGATGGATATGCCACAGTCCCTTCTCCATTTTCTTCTCAGGATTTTGGGCACATACACACATGTGTCTGGTGCATTTTTCAAGCTGCCAAGTCTGGAACTTGAACCCGAGGTTGGCCATGAGGGATCCAGATGCTTTAACCTCTGTCCCACCTGCTGGTCCCTAACTTTTCTTAAAAAGCTTTTATGCCCTATTTATAGATCCTGCTCTTCTTTGAAAAGAAGCCTAGCCAGTTCTAGTAATCAGTTTTTAAGGACCTTCGAATAGTGTTTGGCCCCATTTACAAACTTAATTAAACACTTTAAAACATTTTAAACTGTATTTTAAACTTTAATACATTCCATATCCTTTTTAAGTGCCTCAATGATTTCGTTTAACAAACAAACCTTCCTGAGTTTGTATAAATCTAATAAATTAAACTTATAAATATAGTGAGCTTTAAGTTTTCATGACAGTGCCAATGCCATATACAGATAGCAAGCTTTTAACTTAAAATCATGTTTAAATCAATTATTCAATTATATGTACATTTTAAATGAGAATCACAAGCCCAAATTCTATGAATATGAATACTTGAAACACCAAGTATGCAGATTCCTTAAACTAAAAATAATACCAGCACAGTTTTGCTTTTCTTAAATATTTTTATTCTGAATTCTAAGTCTTCTAGGTGTTCAAAATACTCTCTAAGAATACAGTTACTCTCTCAGCTAATCGAGGTTGCTTATCAACCAGAGATTTGGGCTGGTCAGCACCTTGGTGGGCACACAGGACCCCTATTTCTAGCTGCTCACAGGGACTTATAACTTAAGGGCAGGGTTGGTCTTGTAATGAAGTCAAGCTATTCTCTAGTCCTTAATTAGACTTTGCAGTTCTTGGACTTTTCTGGTAACACTTAAATGCCTTTTTCATGTAACTCTAAAGACCTTTGAACTTGACATTTGATGTTCTTGTCATCTTCCTACTTCAGCACCATGACTCTTGCAGATATTGAAAATGATATCTGATTAAAGTCTGCAAAGCTCAAGGCTTTGTCAGGTTTGTCACACAGCCCAACACGGCTGATGCTTGCCCAGGCCCACAAGGCCCAGTGTGAGCCATCTCTTGCTTATTTCTCCCAGACATTCCTCCTTCTCTTCACTGAACTTCAGCCACATGACTTCTTTCTATTTCTCAAATTGCCCAGACTTGATATGGCCTCAGTACCTTTGTACTAGCTGTCTCCCTTGCTTGGAAGGCTGTGGAATCAAATCTTCCCTAGCCTCATCTCAGCATTCCAGGTCCCACCTCCAACAGCATGTTCTCATAGATTCCTTCTTCTGCTCTCAAGTAGTTTTGTTTTTGTTTTGTTGTAGTTTTTTTGCTATAGGGCACATGTTCTTGCCAGAGAGAGAAAGACAGAGAGAGAGGGAAAGTGAGAAACCACCCCCAATGGGGACAACCACACCATAATCCCTTCTCCCTTCCCCTTCTTGGGATTTTTGGGCATGTACGCACAGGCACCCTGTGTAATTTTCAAACTGCCAGGTCTGGGACTTGAACTGCACAGTAAGCTATCTAGTATCCAGTGCCTTAACCACCAAGTCACCTGCTGGCCCCCAACTCTAAAGTAGTCTTACTGCCTTGGCCCCTATGGTCTGTGTTTTATTATATTCTATATTCTATTGCAATACTCTGGTTTATTGTCATTTACAATTTTGTTCTTATTTATTATCTGACATCCCCAGAGGTATGTAGCTTATTAAAGTGTAGGGCCATACTAGTCTAGTTAACCATTAACACCAGTACCTTGAACTGGGTGGATGAATGAATGAATGAATGAATGAAATGAATGTAAAAAGGGAATGGCTTTTAACCTGTCATTCATTGGTTATTCTTTTTTCCAGACCTGTGTTCCTGAATGTACTGATCCCCTCAAAGAGGGTACCTGTCCCAAGGACTGGCCCAGCCGTGGAGAGATCACCTTCAGAGACTATCAGATGAGATACAGAGACAACACACCCCTTGTACTTGATGGGCTGAATTTACACATCCAAAGTGGGGAGACAGTAGGGATTGTTGGAAGAACAGGTTCTGGTGAGGACAAACTCTACTCTTATTTCTTGCACATTGTTTTCTTTGGCTTTCCACTGAATGTTCTAGTTAAGCCACACCAGAGAGTGATGTGCCTGTGTGTCGGATTGGTTGTTATTTTCCCTCAAATCTCTTTACTGTAAATTAGGATTTCAGGTTGAATGGGTGTGTTGAGATGGAAGCAAACACACATCAGTTTCTGAATTAATTAAATGAGAATCATCCTGGTGAAACGAGGCCCTGAGGATGAGTTGTGTGCTAACAACCCCTGCAGGGATGGGCAGGTTAACAGTGTGAGGGTAGCCCCTCACCCCTCAGAGTGAGAATTTTGTCTGCACAGTCATCCACACAGAGCCATTTTTACTGCATTAAAAATGCCCTTAATTAAATGCCTAGATATGATAGAAGTACAAACTGCTGTTTGACTTGTTCTTGCTTTGATTGGCCCCAGGAAAGTCGTCATTAGGGATGGCCTTGTTCCGTCTGGTGGAGCCAGCCAGCGGTACAATCTTCATTGATGAGGTGGACATCTGCACCGTGGGTTTGGAAGACCTCAGAACCAAACTGACTGTGATCCCCCAGGATCCTATCCTGTTTGTAGGTACAGTAAGGTAGCTGTTTTTGATCATTGTGCATTCCTATTTTTGGATAGTGAAATCAGACTGATGAGGAACTTTGTTAAGTCCCCAGGGCGTGGCTGCCTGGGGCTGTTCTGTTTGAGGAAAGCAGCTCCCTGAGGCACTGACAGTACTGCTGGTGCTTGTTTCTAAGTAAAGCCTTGGGAGGAGCCAGAGACAGGGCTCTGAGCTTTTCTTGTGCTTTAAAAATCCTAGTGTATTAAAAATGTGGGGACCTCAAAAAGTTCATGAGAAATGCGTATTATGAAAAACGATCATGGATTTCTAATTTTTTTTTTTAACACCAAAATAAACTCAAACACTAATTCCATTCTTCATGAACTTTCTGGAGTATCTTTGTAATACACCTTACTAATAAAATAACTATGTGCATACAAATGCATTTTATAAACCCAGTATTAATGAACAAGATGTTTATATACATGAGGTAAGCAGGTATCCCAGTGACCTTGGACAGCCCTATTTTATGCCTGTATCCTGGCATCCCAGGTTTAGCAATGACTGCTCTCAAAAGTACCCCAGTGTGCATAGTAAAATAAGTGGCTACCCTACGTATGTAGCCATCCATGGGGAAGTGCATTAATTCATTCCACTATTCAGTGAACAGAAGCTGTTCCAAGTACTAGAACAGTAGGGCTGCAACTTCTATGGGGCTCAGGGTCTGATACCAAGGCAGAAGGGGAAAGCCACAGTTCTCAATTAGTCCAGTGCAGTGACTCTCCCTCTAATGAGAGGGACACGTCTCCCACTGAGCACCAGATGATTAGGGGAACTGTATTTACTGCATTTAGAGTTGACCTGTATTTAGAGTTTGTTGTATGAAAGCTACATTCTGAGTCCTGAAACACTAGACTCACATCCTGTCTAAGAGATGCTCCACCCTCTGAGAGGCCCTGGGAGCTGCAGATGGATCTCATGTCTCTGAAGGCTGAGTGAATGAAGTGCCAGATGGAGTTGCTCATTCTCTTCCTGCCAAGAATTCATTTAAGGTCAAACCCACTCTGCTGCTCACGGCCTCTGAGAGACCAAGTGAAATTTCCTGGGTGCCAAGCTTGGTGCTGCCTCTCCAAAGGGTTTCACATTTCCCTGCCTGCCTCAGAGGTCTTTGCTCTGTCACAAAATTGTGGGTTCTTGGTCATGTGGCCTGAACCTGGAGATTCACAGGCTTTTGTCCTGGGCTAAGCACTGCTCCTGGAGCTGCGGGATTATTACATACCATCTCCCATTCTCCCCAACATGCTGCAGAAAACCTGCTCCCCTTTCTCTTGTCCTGTGAAATCCAGCTGCCTCTTTCCTTTATTGCAGGTACAACTTGGATCCCTTTGAGAGTCACACCGATGAGATGCTCTGGCAGGTTCTGGAAAGGACATTCATGAGAGACACAGTAGGTCTCTGGGGCTGTTCAGGACAAGTCTGTTTCCCAGACCTTGTGTCCCAATATCTGACCAAACTTTAAACTGTGCTAGCACTGGGTTGGCACTTGGCCAAGGTTATTTGCGGGTGGCACATAAGTCAGTAGGGTTATCCTTATTTACTATTTAGTATCAAAAGCCTTAGTAGCTAATATTGATTAGGGCTCTGCAATGGCCCAATCAAGAGCTTCACCTACATCATCTCCCTTAGTGCTTGCACAGCCCTCCGAGCGTGGTACTGAGCTTTAGAGCTCAGAAACTATGCCTAGGCTAACGAGTGGTAGAATGGAGATTCGAACCCAAGTCCAGCTGATTCTAGAGCACATGACATGCTCTGCCAGTCTGCCAGTAGCCTCATTTGCTCTGAGGATGGATAAGCCACAGAAAGATGGGAGCTGGAGCATGTCCTAAGAGTGGCACATGTGACTGGTTTGAGAGGACTGAACTGTGAGATGGAACCCTGTCCCATCTGAGCATTGTAGCTCCAGCTGAGGGTGGCAGGTGAGCATGTCCACATCTGCAGCCCAGAGGGCTTCCAGGACTCAGTATCTAAGTGAGCATCTCCCAAAGCCACTTTATTTTGTGCTGGATTGGGTAGACCAGTAACCAAAAAGTTCTCTCATCCCATCTCTGGTAGTTAGTCTATGGAAATAGTGACCCTGAAAGCCATTTCTGGATGTTTTTGTGTTCTCTGAAACCGAATGGGCATCATCTGTACTCTTGGCGAGTTGTCTATGGGGCTGCATAAGTCATACTGTGATTTTAAATTATTAACGTCCTCCTCCTCCTCCCTGGTCTGTCCCTGGTGCCTGTTTGCAATATTGAAATGACTGTTGTTTTGCACTTTCTTTTCCACAGTAAAATAAAGCACCATGATGAATGCAAGATAAGGGGGCAATCAATACAGACGAAGCAGGACAATTTTATAGATCATCAGCATAAATATGGCATTTTCTGTGTTTTATAGATAATGAAACTCCCAGAAAAATTACAGGCAGAAGTCACAGAAAATGGAGAAAACTTCTCAGTAGGGGAACGCCAGCTGCTTTGTATGGCCCGAGCACTTCTCCGTAATTCAAAAGTAAGGAAACAGCACGGAAAATGGATTGGTCAAATTTTGGATATTTCCTGCAGCGCCACTCAATCCAGGAGGTAGAGCCTCGCGTTTGTCTTTTAGCAAAGAGAGAGCAATTGAGTCATTTAAAAACCGATCACTTTTTTCTTAAGACAAAGTTGTGAGGAGTAAAAATTGAAAAATAACAGCCATTTACAGCAATAGCACCTTCCTCCCCTGGGCTTCCCTTTGGGAGGTCTTGCTTAGGTTTTCTCTCTGCTATCCTAAATGGTTTGAGTTTGAAAAATCTGCCTCTCAACTTTTCCCCTTTGTCCCTGAACAATTCTGAGTGCGGATAAACAGGACCCAGGATACTCAAGGCCATCAGAATGCCAGGATATGAGAACTGTAAAATTCATATTTGTTTTTCTTTGCTTACTGGCTTTGAGGAAAGGATTGCTGTTGCTTTAGAAATCCTGTTCTCTTACTCCTCATGAAAAAATGTATCCCCTTGTCTGTGTCCTAGTCTTGCTCAAGGCAGGGGAAAGGGAACCAGTGAATATTGTGCCCCACTGGTAAGTGCCTGTGTGACTTTCTTTGCATTTCATGCTCATTATAAAGCATACCCCTCCTCTCACAGATGAAAGAACAGAGCCACAGGGAAGTTAAGTAACTTGGCCAAGATCAGGCAAAGGCAGGAATTGAGTTCAAGCCCTCTGATCTGCAAAATCAAACCAGTGATTTGCAGGATACGGTCCCACCTCCTTCCTAAAAGAAATCCATATGCTAATTCCTGGAACTTTTGAATATGTTACCTTACCTAGCAAAAGGGACTTTGTAGATGTGATGAAGTTAAGAGTCTCAAGATGGGAGATTATCCTGGATGTGGGTATGCTATGAGTCTTTACAAGGAGGCAGGAGTATCAATGAGAGAGATGTCCCCAGAGCCTGCGAAAAAGGATGCAGCCCTGACAATGCCCGGACTTTAAGACTGCTGACCTCTGGCACTGTAAGATAATGCATTCATGTTGTCTTAACTCTCCACATTTGTGGTCATTTGTTTCAGCAACAGTAGGAAATGAGTAAATGCTGTTATTATACATCATGCTGACTCATGCTCACAGAAGAGATAAAGCCTATATGGTGTTCCTTCCTACCAGTTTGTAGGGTTAGAATAAAACAAAAAGAGGAATAACGAACATCCATCTTGCTTCTCCAGTGAGTTCTTCTGAGGACGATAGAGGCAGTGCTGTCCAACTTCTATTTTGCTGTCTCTAACTCTCAGTTCTTCTTCTATTCTTTAAATGAATAGAACCAAGACTACACAAGGGGATCTTCAAAAAGGTGATGGAAGATGTGTCTTCCGAATATATCTTGCATGAATTTCAAAATATTTTGTACCAAAATAAACTTAGATGTTAATTCCATTTCCCCCCAACCACTTCGACGTACCTTCTTCGGTTTCTCTCTGAGGATAGCTTTGGCTTAGTGTGATTTTCCATTGTTCCTCCTTCAACAGATCATCCTCCTTGATGAAGCCACTGCCTCCATGGACTCCAAGACTGACACCCTTGTTCAGAGCACCATCAAAGATGCCTTCAAAGGCTGTACGGTGTTGACCATCGCCCACCGCCTAAACACAGTTCTCAACTGCGACCGTGTCCTGGTCATGGAAAATGGGAAGGTGCAGGAAGCTCTTGATGGCTTTCCCTCCCCTGAGGTTTCAGTGGTTTGGGCTTTAGGGTGGGAGGATATCTTCTGATTGTTTCAGTACTTCTTTTATGACTTTCAGGTGATTGAGTTTGACAAGCCTGAAGTCCTTGCTGAGAAGCCAGATTCTGCATTTGCAATGCTACTTGCAGCAGAAGTCGGATTGTAAAGGTCCCTGTGGCTGATCTTGGAGGAGTAGGTGTGAGATGAGCAGGGAGGCTCTCATTGCAGCGGGCCACCCCGTCCACTGCCCCTCCCACCCATGGAGTATGAGCCGAGCTGGTCTGAGGTCTCCCCTCTTTCCTCCAGCTTATGCTGGCTCATCTCATGCTGGCTCACCTCGCCTGCAAGGCTTAGGGTTGGTCCTGGGTGGTGAACAGAGGTAGATGAAGCATGTGGATTAAAAAATACTGCCCCTCCCCTTCTAAAATCCCAAGGGTCCCTCTTCTGCTCTCCACCAATACCACCTGAGCTCCTGAGAAAAGAAACATTGTAACTTTTAGTTAAACACCAGTAAAAGTAAATAGAATAGGAAATGCCCGAGGACGGAGTTTGCTAAGGTTTCTTGCCTTGCTTTCAAAAGGGAAAAGAGTAGATTTTTCTTCCCGCATAAGTCCTGTTCACTTCCGTCTTAACTGTGTGACAAGCAGTAACTACACAGATCTGTAGCATGAAAGATGAATTACAGTGTTTGGTGAGAAAAAAAATTTAAAAAAATTTTAAATCATATTGTTGGTTCTATTTGATCTCTTAGGATAACCAGGAAAACAAAATGCTGGAGTTTCTCTCTAAATGACATTTTTATATCTTCTTTATTGGTCATTAAAACGCAGTAGGAAATTAAAGTCCCCTGAAATGTTGCCTTGCCATTATTTTACTGAAGATATTCCCATTTCTGTACTATTTCCTCTCATAGACCCTTGTTGCCGTCTCCCTTGACTCGGTAATAAACCCTCAAAATCGTTTAACAAATAAAAGACTTTCTTTCCAACCTCAAGGCTTGCTGTGATGGATACCGTGGACACGTATTCCCAGTAGTTCCAGGAGTGAGTGCCAATTCATGGTGACGTTTGAAAAGAAAGAAAGTCCGACAGGCTTTTGTGTTATATTTACCAAGGTGCACGCTGGGGTTCTAGCTGTTGCTCATTCTTTTTTTTTTTTTTTTGGAGAGATTTTCACTGTAGGGCGCGTGTGCTCGCCAGACAGACAGAGAGAGACATAGAGACAGAAAGCAAGAAATCACCCTCCATGGGGGATGGTCACGCCGCAATCCCTTCTCCTCCATTCTCCTCTCGGGATCTTGGGCACGCACGCACACGCACCCGGCGTGAGTTTTAAGCCACCGGGTCCGGGACACGAACCGCGGTCGACTACATGGGAGTCCAGCGACATAGCCATTATGCTAACTGCTGGTTCCCCTGTTGCTCATTCTTTGAGATTGAAGGCCTCCATGATGTTTCCAGTGAGGATTTCTGGACTTACTTTCTAGCCCTCAGAGCTGCACTCTACATGTGGCACAGGGCAGTGTGGTCAGGGGGCTTCCATTCAGTGTCCCTCATCTCACACCCCTCTGAGTCTTGGTCATGTTCTCCAGCCTCCCCACCTTTCTACACGTGGAGGAATGCAGTGGCTGGCACGTATGAACGCTCAAATACTTGTGGGCCCAGCCAAGTGGTGCAGTCCACAACATACTGGACTGCTATGCTGGAAGCCACATAGCAACTATAGGTTAGGACACCCAGGTCAGCCTGAAAACATGTTGGGAACACACATGAGTGCATGAGATCCCCATGAGCTGGAGGGCTGGGAAAAGGGGATCATAATATGACAAGACCTTGTTGAAAATGCGAGGATGCTTTCTCTGTGCATAGGCTATTGGAAGAAAAAAAAAAGACGGAAAAAGAAAAATACTTGTGGCATGCACACATGGCAGCATCTGATGATCTCATTCAAACACGGCTATGCAATCAGGTGGTTCTCCCTCCCAGGTACATTTGCAGGTCAGGGCCTTCATTTGGAGAGGCTGAAATTCCTGGCACATAAGCCAACAACTGGCATCTTAAGGGCTAGGCTTGTGAGGTTTGCCTCTAACAAATCATCCTCCGTTTCTCCTCTTGCCATACTCAGGCAGGTGTCTGCCGGGCCAGAGATGGAGCAACAGCAGCTGGTCCAGGTAGAGTCCCCAATCTGGCGAGTGTGTTAAAGCCCCAGCTGTCAGGCAGCTCTGCAGCAATTCTACCATTAGCAGAGAGTACACACTAAGAGGAATATGGCTGGAAAGGACAGGAGCAAGGGGGTTCCTTTCATGGGTAGTTCCATGCCAAGTTTGGATCTCGCTGAGAAGGGATACAGCATGGCTTGACATAATTTGAGATTTCCCCTATGTTGTGTGACCCCGATGCGAGGTCATCAAATTCACATCCGCATGGCTCCAGAGCAGCTGCCTCAGGCTAATCGCCATCATCACCTTAATGAATGTCCAATGACTCCCCTGATTTGGCAACTAGGCCTGGCAGTCCCTGCTGGCCACAGGAATGTATGCCAGCTGTGTGATGGGAGGAAGGAATGCTTTATTTTCTACCAACCTGGCACCAGCCAGACAATCAGTCTGCGATTTCAAGTAGGTATTTCCATGCGAATAGGGAATAGGCTATAATAATCCCTATTGCTCATTCGGATGCACTGAAAGGTGGATCTCTGATGGCTCTGTTTTTGCCCACACCCTTCTTGGCTTGTGCTGGCAGAAGAGAACACTGACATCGATCTTGACATCTGCTGAGCCTTTGTGATGTGCCAGGCACCATGATAAGCATTTTTCCATGAATTACTTCCCTGAATCCTCACTTCACCCCATGGGATAAAAACTGAGGTTCACCAAGGTGAGTAACTTAGCTACAGACACAAAAGGAAGAGACAGAGATAGGATTTGACCCTAATGGGTCTGACTCTAGAGCCCTGACTCCTAACTCCGCCACAGTAGAACCCCTTCTGCCCTTTCCTCTTACCCCATTGCAGAGACAATAATAGGTGCCATTCTCACACATGAGAGAGAACAGCTCTGGAGGAATGGCTGCTTGCACACGCAATGACATGGACTAGTCTCGGTGACTCTCCCCATGCTCCACCCCTTATTGTCACTACCATGTCAGCTGAGGGGAAATAGCACAAAATAATAATAACCAACACTTAGGCAGTATTCCTCGGAACACGGATTTAGTTTACTGAATCCTCACCATATCCCTTTAGATAGGTGTCTGCCATTATGTGAATGTGTATGTATCTCCACATTCATATGCTGAAATCTAATGGCTGATACAATGGCATTAAGAGTTAGGTAGTTTGGGAACCAGCAGTTAGCGTAATGGCTATGTCGCTGGATTCCCATGTAGTCGACCGCGGTTCGTGTCCCGGACCCGGTGGCTTAAAACTCACGCCGGGCGCGTGTGCGTGCATGCCCAAGATCCCGAGAGGAGAATGGAGGAGAAGGGACTGCGGCGTGACCATCCCCCCTGGGGGGTGATTTCTCGCTTTCTGTCTCTATGTCTCTCTCTGTCTGTCTGGCGAGCGCACGCGCCCTACAGTGAAAATCTCTCCAAAAAAAAAAAAAAAAAAAAAAAGGGGTAGTTTAGGGCCCACCAGTTGGGCTCTGCAGCTGGTTTCAACCCCAAGTCCATGGAGCACCCAAAAAACGTGGTGGCTTAAAACTCACATCAGGCGCGTGTGCGTGCGTGCCCAAGATCCCAAGAGGAGAATGGAGGAGAAGGGATTGTGGCGTGGTCATCCCCCCTGGGGGGTGATTTCTCGCTTTCTGTCTCTCTGTCTCTTTCTGTCTGGTGAGCGCACACGCTCTATCGCAAACAAAACAAAACAAAACAAAACCTCTCCAAAAAAATAAATAAATAAATAAAGAGGTAGTTTAGGAGGGTTATCAGGTCATGAGGACCACCCCGTGAATGAAATTAGTGTTCTTCATAGAAAGTCTCAAGGTTCCAGGGGAGTCATCCCTTCACTATATGAGGACACATAGAAGGCACCATTTGTTTTAATTTTTATTTATTCATTTATTTTTAAGTTGACCAGAGATGGACAGAGTGAAAAAGAGAATGAGGGAAAGTGATAAAGCAAGCCACCAGGTCCTGGATATTCAAACCGTGGTCAGCCACGTAGGAGTCCAGTGCCCTTAACCACCACGCCACCTGCTGGCCCCAAGAAGGTACCATTTATGAAACACAATCCTTGCCAGATACTAAGTCTGCAGTCACTTTGATCTTGGACTTCTGAGCCTCCAGAACTATAAGTAATCAATTTATTTTGTTTATAAGTTAGCCAATCTACAGTATTTTGTTAGGGCAGTCCAAATGGACTAAGAAATATCAGTGTTATCCTCATATCAGTGATGAAGAAAGGAAGGCACTGAGAAAGTAACTTGACCAAGGCCATCCCAGTAGTGAGATTTGAACCAGGCCAGCTGATTTTACAACCTGTACAGAATGAGCACCCCTAATCCAAAGATTTGAAATTTGAAATGCTCCAAAACAAGGAACATTTTAAGCAGTAGAACATCAGAGTGGAAAATCCCACACCTGACCTCAAGTGAAAGGTTGTAATCAAAATGCTGCACCACACAAAATATTGTATAATAGCTCTTTAGGGTATGTATGATAAGGTTATATGAAACATAAATGAATTTTGTGTTTAGACTTGGGTCCCAAAGATATGTCATGTATACATAAATACTATAAAACAGCAATGAAATTGAAACCCCAAACAGTTCTGGTCCCGAGCATTTTGGTTAAGGAATATTCACCCTGCCATTCTGTTGGAAACCTGAGATCCTCCAGGTGAGAAAGAGTACAGTATGCAGGGTCCTAAAGCTTATGGATTAGTCAGGATCGATTCAGTTATGTTGCAGTAACAAACAACCCAGAGCAGTGGTTTAGTTCTTGTTCATGTTTCCCATCACAGGTGAGCTATAGTTAGGCTATTTGTCATCCCAGTAGCCTCTGCCTGGGACATCATCAGTCTTATGGAAGAGGACAAACAGACATGGTAGTCAAAAGTGACATATGTCACTTTTACTTGAATTTCATGGACAAAACAAGACACATGGCCACTCCTGAATTCAACAGGGTGGGGGTTGATCATGGCATATACTCTATCTCAGGGAGGGGCATTACGAGCTATAAGGGCCAACCCTATTTCTGCAAGAAGCTCTTTGGAGGGACAGCAAATATTTGAACATAACTACAACCTACCAGAGCCCGAGCGAAGGTATTGGTTCTGCCATTGATGGGCTGTATGTTCCAGGGAAAGCAGCTTGCCTTCTTTGATTCTCCATTCTCTCATCTGTAAAATTTGGTATATGGTCTACAGTCTTTTTCAGTACAAACTTTCAGTATAGGAGAAATGAAAAGGAGTTATGAAAACAGTTTCTAGAGCATCAACATGGTGGAATTTAGGAACCAGCAGATGGTATAGCATTTATATTACTGGACTCCCACATGAGTGACTGCAATTTGAGTACTGGACCCAGTGGCTTGAAAATCATGCTGGGCACATGTGCCTGTGTGCCCAAGATCCTGGAAGGAAAATGGAGGAGAAGGGATTGTGGAGTGACCATTCCCCCGCCCCCTCACCACCACCACCAGAGGTGATTTCTCACTTTCCCTTTCACTGTCTCTGTGTCTTTCTCTCTTTCTCTGGCTAGGGCAACTGCCCTTAAGGCAACAACTTCTTTTAAAAAATAGTGGAATTTAGACACTCAAACACAGTACTCTCCCTAAATGTAATTACATATTTTTTTAAATGTTCAGTTTATAAAATAAGTTTAACAAGGTTAAACCAAGTTCTGAGCTTGTGCTCCATGTCAGCTTTAATATTCATGAGGAAATAAATTCTTTTGAAATTTATCACCACTTATTTTGGTGTCCAGTTTCATGTGCTCTGACTCTATTTGCCTATTGGGTGATCTTATGCTCAATGTTATGAATT